AGAGCCGCCGGGCTGTGGGGCACAGCAAACCAGACGCCCCCATCCTCAGCGCAGAGATCCTGCCCCACGGATCCCTCCCTGCCCCACGGATCCCTCCCTGCCCCACACCCGGGGCGACTCACTTTCGTCATGGTGATGTTGATGGTGGTACGGCGCCGGCCCGAGCGGGTCTTGCAGCCGGAGTCGAGCGAGAGGTCGCCCAGAGAGCCGGCGCTGCTCTCCAGCTGGGACCGCGTGCGGCTGGGGATGGGGGTGAAGTAGAGGCTCTCCAGGGATTCCACCTTGCGGGGCAGCCGCTGCGATGCCAACGACTCTTCGCTGCCCGGCGGCACCGCCGAGGCCTCCGACTGCGAGCGGCCAGCCTTCCTGCAGAGACAGGGCAGGAGGGCAGCGCTGACGGGCTTACCAGGCCAGCGGGGAACAGCGGGGAGCGGGGACGCCGGTTTTTCGCAATGCCGGCAGCAGGACGGGCTTTGCCGAGCTGTGTGCCACGCCGGTACCTGGTGGAGTTGAGCGGTTGCGCTTCGTCGAGGCTGAGGTCCAGGCTGTCGGCGCTGAGATCGGCGGGGTTCTGGCGGAAAGTCTCCCGGCTCTTCAGCGTGTCTGTCGCCACTTGGAACTTGCCGAGATCCCGGAGCTGCTGATTGGCAAACTCCACCTGGATGGGAAGCAGGGAGGGATGGATCCTCCAAGCGAGCCGGCAACGGAGATGAGGAGGAGGAGGAGGGGGGCGAAGCCCTGCCGTGCGGTGCCCACCTGAGCCTCCAGGCTGCGGACCTGACTGGTGAGGTTCCTGCAGCTCAGCTCTGACTCCTTGGCCTGCAGGACGCTCTGCTGCAGCTCCTTGGCCAACCTCTCCGACTCGGTCCGGAGCTCCGCGTTCTCCTTCTGCAGGTGCTCCATAGCCTTCAGCTTCTCCGCCAGGTCCTGGTTCTGCTGCTTCTTTGCGTCGTAATGAGTTTTTGCCTTCTCCATCTAGGATGTCAAGGAGAAAAAAACCTGTCAAGCTTCCCTACGGGGCGCTGCCGGGGGAAGGGTACGGGGATGACGTGGCCGCACCAGTCCCCCACGTACCTGTCCTTTGTAGTGCTCGGCCGCCTGCTCCTTCTGGGCGAGCTGCGCCTGCAGCTCTGCCCCCTTCTCCTGGGCCTCTGCCTGCAGCTCTCCTTCCAGCACCTGCGGGCAGGGACGAGACGGGGTCAGAGGCACCCTGCACCCCCGGCCCTGCCTAACCGAGTCCCCTGTGTCCCTCGGGGGGCGGCCACCCACGGCTTCGGGGCTGGGCCCAGCTCAGGTCCCAGGTTTTTGGGCCCCTGTTTACCTTAACCCTCTGCTGCTGCGTTCGCGTGGCCTTCTCGTGCTGGGTCAGCTTTTTATTCAGCTCCTCCACCTGGAAGAGCACGGCTCGGTTAGCCCGGCTCCGGGCACGAGACTCCCATCACAGCCCTCCCACGGGGGAGCACATCCCTCCCCTCCAGCCACCTCCAGGGGCAGGACCAGGAGGAGGTTTCCTGCCCTGGGGCGCTGCTCAGCAGTGCCCACCACCAAAGAAGCTCCCGGCGCAGCGGGCACTTGGGTTAGCAGGGTCGAGGCAG